ATCCATTACGAACTTCAAATACAAAATTTCAAAAAATAATTCCGGTATATTATATCGCTAAAATCATCAATATACCGAATATCGGGGGCTACCGTTATATGGGGGCTATACGAAGTCATGGACCTGCACAAACAGTTTTTATTCATAGGCTGTAGTATCCATTACGAACTTCAAATACCATATTTAAAATAGTTCCGGTAAATAATGTCTCTAATATCATCAAAATACCGAAAATCGGGAGGTACCGTAATATGGGGGCTATACGAAAACGTGGACCTGCACAGACAATTTTCTGTCTTAGGCTGTGGTATTTATTACGAACTTCAAATGCTAAATTTGAAATAATTCCGGTAAATAATGTCGCTAAAATCATCAAAATACGGAATATCGGGGGAACCGTTATATAGTGACTATACGAAGACGTGGACCTGCACAGACAATTGTGATAAAATTTGAAATAATTCCAGTAAATAATGTCGCTAAAATCGTCAAAGTACCGAATATCGGGGGGAACCGTTATATAGCGGCTATACGAAGACGTGGACCTGCATGGCCCATTTTCTGTCTTGTGCTGTAGTAATCATTACGAACTTCGAATACAAAATTTGAAACAATTCTGGTAAATAATGTTGCTAAAATCATCAAATTGAGTACATTTCTATCAACTTACTTCATTTCGTTCGCAAGCTAGAGTGATTTACATAGACGGACAGACGGACAGACGGATAGACAGACATTGCTAAATCGTCATAGCATTTTATGCGGATCAAGGATATGCATACTTTGTGGGTTCTAAGATGTATAATTCGAGGTGTTACAAACGGAATGACAAACTTAATATACCTTCCATACTATGGTGGAGGGTATAAAAATCTTTAATTCATAAGAAATAGACTCAAAATATTTAAATATATTTTAGTTCTAAACATTTTATTTGAAGCCACTAGCTTTTCCTGCCAGTGATTTGACTAATTCAATTGAAGTGATACCATGATAAGTTTAAGAAAGTCAACGATTTCTCCGCAAACTAAAATATGTATTCTATTCGAAAACAAATTCTTAGATCTAAGGCAGTGTCCTGCCTCCGATTAATTATATGGACTTTTCCAAACCATTGGTGTGGAAATTCCTTTCGTTCATGGGGTTTAAGCTATAACATAATTGCATTACCTCCATGTGAATAGCAACAACACTTCAAAGCTGCTGGTTAACCAAAACGAACACCTTGCTTCCAAAGGCTTTCTCTAAATTTTCTACAAAAGCAAAAAAAAAATAAATAAAACTAAAATAAAATTCACCATCTTCTGTAGCTGCTCGGACATGCAAACATTCCACTCGGTGCCACATACTTTATAGAATCGTTTTTTTCGGCTTTGATCCACTTAGGTGAATGACTTAGTATTTATTCGAGTAAGTGTGTGTATGTGTGTGTGCATGTGTATGCGTCTAAGTTTACGTGTGACCATATCATGACAGGACATTCTCCATTTAACCATGTAGCCTTTTGTCGTATCGCCCAGACTTATGCCCAAGAAACTCATCGATATTCTAGCAAGTTTTAAGACTTGTTTTAACTAGAATCTTCAAGAGCCCGTTTTCTGGCATGTGCGACACAACATTTTTTGTGTGATCCATTTTAGCCCCTTCTACATTTTTTCCGTTTTTTTTTTGCAGCAACAACTTTCAAAATTATGCTGAAGATACCTTATGAAAACTAACTGAAAGTATTCAAGTTTGCTGGTGGTAGAGAAAAAGTAGGGTGTGAGTGGGTGGAATGATAGAATGTGTGAAAATAAAGGCTAGTTAGCACGGCACGGTTTATATTGAACAACAAAACCGACACAAGCAATGCTTACACCACTTAACCAGGAATAGGACCTATAACACCAAATCGCATGAAACATATATATGGAAGCTGAGCTGGTGCAGGGTATAATTACCACTATGTGGCGTAGGGTATAAAAAGGGACCGAAAAGGACCCTTCGATGATTTGATTGAGGGTTAAAATTTCATAATATTCTACGTATTTTTGTCAATATTGCCAAAGACACTATATACCTAAAATGCACGGATTCCGAAAAAGTGGAAGAGGGGGGAACTTATCCCCTCTATTTTGATAAATTTTCAAAACGTCGATACAAGTGTCTTCTTATTTTAGCTCAACTTTTATAATCCCCAGAACTATTGAAGAATTGATTACCTTCCAATCATCTACAACCCGAACATATTTATCGCAATACCCTGGCTCCCGACTTCCATCCATTAGAGTTCCCGGTTATCTAAAAGTTAATTCGCCGCCATGCCCATTCAATCCATAATATCGCATGTAAGAAGACCTTCAAAACCCCTTCTTTAGACGATATTTTCAGAAGGCCTTCTATCAATTCGAGACCTATAAAAGGTCGTTTAGCTATAGGAGATATAATCAAGGTCCTCTATTTGTAGGAAACCTATAAAAGGTATATCATAAATAGAGAACATATAAATGCTCTTTTTAATGGAATACCCACAGAAAGTATTTTAATAATCCGATGCTTGTAGAAGGAGTTTCATAAATAGAATATTATAGAAAGTTTACTGCAAGATTCTCTATCAAAAGATAGACTTCTAAAAAAATTATGAAAAGGAGGCCTATAACTGGCTTTATACAAATATAAGATCTCTAGATGATATTATATCAATGCCGTCATGCCTATTCAATCCATATTATAGCATGTAAGAAGACCTTCAAAAACGCTTCTTTAGACGATATTTTCAGAAGGCCTTCTATCAATTCGAGAGCTATAAAAGGTCGTTTAGCTATAGGAGATATATTATTAAGATCCTCTATTTGTGGAAAACCTATATTCTCATACATGGAGAACCTATAGATTATCTTTTTTAATGGAATACCCATAGAAAGTGTTTTAATAATCCGATGCTTGTAGAAGGGGTTCCATAAATAGAATATTATAGAAAGTTTACTCCTAGAATCTCTATCAAAAGGTAGACTTCTAAAAAAATTAACAATAGGAAGCCTATAAAAGGCTTTATACAAATATTAGATCTCTAGATGATATTATATCAATGGGATACCTATAGATTGCCTATAGAAGCTGTTCTCAGAGTACGTCGTCAATCGAAGATCTTGTTTATATATGAGACCAAAAATATGCCAAGGAGGCCTTCTATCTATGTGAAACCTGCGATGGGTCTAAGTAAATTTGTTTTATTAAAAAACTTAGAATATCTTCAGTCAAAAGAAAAAAAAAACAAGTAAAAATCTGTAAGTTCGGCCGGGCCGAACTTTGAATGCCCTCCACCATTTGGAACGAATTTGACAATTCTCCAAAACAATAAAATCCATTAAAAATTCTGTTAAAATCTTACAAAATACCGAATGTAGCTGTTACATTAGGGTCAATATGGGGGGCTATACGAAGACGTGGGCCTGAAAAGACAATTTTCTGTCTTAGGCTGTAGTATCCATTACGAACTTTAAATACCAAATTTGAAACAATTCCGGTGAATAATGTCGCTAAAATCATCGAAATACCCAATATCGGTAGGTACCCTTATATGGGGCTATACGAAGACGTAGATCTGCATAGACAATTTTCTGTCTTAGGCTGTAGTATTCATTGCGAACTTTAAATACCAAATTTCAAACAATTCAGGTGAATAATGTCGCTAAAATCATCAAAATACCAAATATCGGGAGGTACCCTTATATGGAGGTTATACGAAGACGTAGATCTGCACAGACAATTTTCTGTCTTAGACTGTAGTACTTGTTGCGAACTTTAAATATCAAATTTGAAACAATTCCGGTGAATAATGTCGCTAAAATCATCGAAATACGGAATATCGGGAGGTACCCTTATATGGGGCATATACGAAGACGTATAGACCCGTACAGACAATTTTCTGTCTTAGTCTGTAGTATTCATTGCGAACTTCAAATACCAAATTTGAAAGAATTTTTATGAATATTGTCGTTAAAATCATCGAAATACCGAATATTGGAAGGTACCCTTATATGGGGGCTATACGAAGGCGTGGACCTGCATAGACAATTTTCTGTCTGAGGCTGTAGTATTTATTGCGAACTTCAAATACCAAATTTGAAGCAATTCCGGTGAATAATGTCGCTAAAATCATCGAAATACTGAATATCGGGAGGTACCGTTACATGAGGGCTATATTAAAACGTGGACCTACATGGCCCATTTTGAGTACCAAAGTCCTGCAGACATAACATACATTTGAGTAAAATTTTATCAATCTACTTCAATTCGTTCGGAAGCTAGAGTGATTTTCACAGACGGGTAGACGGACGGACATCGCTAAATCGACATAGTATTTTATGCTGATCAAGAATATACATACTTTGTGGGGTCTAAAATGTATATTTCGAGGTGTTACAAATGGAATGACAAACTTAATATACCCTCCATACTATGGTGGAGGGTATAAAAAGGTCTTCTCCTAAAAGAGGACTTTTGGAATGAAATCAAACAAGAGTTCTCTTCTCCGACTCCTTTTTTTTCTATAGATGAATCTTTTATCTGTGAAAGACCTATTTAAGGACTTCTATGAAGAAGAATTATGGAAGGTCTTCAATCGATCGGAGTCGCAGAGATAATCGCCTAATCACACGAGGCCTACTTAAAATTTACAGTCGGTCTTCTGTTAATAAAGAACCTCAGCTGGTCTAATGTGTGAGCCAATTTTTAAACACAACCTCTGACCTAATCTTTAAATCATATCCTTCCAAAAGATGAGCTCCTCTTTTTCGTTAACATAATCGGACCCACTGACACATGAATGCCACCATATTGCTTAAGGTGAATGTGGATATGTATGCCAGGTATGTTTTACCCATAACTTTCCCATCCTCTCTAACCCTCTCATCCATCTCTCTTTCTTTCTTATATGAATAAAATAAAAATAGCAAAGAATAATAAGAAAGCCAAGCAAAGCAAAAAATAAAGAAAAAAAAACTTTAGAGTAAACTTACCTCCAAACAAACAGGACATTCCAATAATTGGGCAATATGTTGCAGGCAAGTTGCAAACTTTTGCAACGATTGCTGATTAATGTTATGCTGCAAGTTTAGCAAAGAAACGAAAAGAAAAGAAAGGAAAATGAACAAAAAATCAACATCAACATCAGCAACAACAAATTTAGAACAAGTTTAATTAGCTTAGGTTTACTTTTTTTCCTATCAATGTTGCCTCTTCTCCTTCAACATCATCTTCGTTGGCGTACGTTCGTGTGTGTGCGTGTGTATTTCTTGAAGGCCTCACGTTGAACAAATAACATGACCATGTACACAAGGAAGTTGTAGACCGAGTGGAGCATGGGGTCCAGTGTGTGTCGATTTAATATTTAGGATCACCACCAGCACCACCCTATTTATTTAATTTAATTTAAAATGCCGGAAATGTTTTCGGTCCATCTAACGAACTGTATGAAGGGGGTATTTGGAAAATTAGCTAAGAAAAAAAAGGGAAACACATTTAAGTGTCTACATTCGCTAAGACCGAATATAAAATGTGTAAAATATGGTAAAGCCAATGGGGAATTCCAAGAAACGAGGTTCGAAATTCTTCCCAACATGTCTGCATCATCGAATAAAGTTCCAAAATACCATAATGTTCAGCATAGTCGGCAGAAAGTCCCACCAAAGTTTTTAGTGCAAAAAAATATATTTCCGTGTAAAAAATATGTATTTTTTGAAAAATTCGACCTTTTGTGAGAGAGGTACCGAAGGAGTGGACCAAGATTGCCCATCTTACCATCAGACCTTGGGTTAATATAAATATTAGGATCTGTGAAATTTGAAGACTCTTACATCACATTTTAGGAGAGTTGTAATTATTCAAAATTTGATCATGTGTGGGGCAGGTACTTGAAGGAGTCGACCGATATTATCAATTTTCACACCAGACCTAGCACTGACTCAAATTTTGGGATTTGCAAAGTTGGAGCGAAATCAGATTATCCATTCTCTTTCTGTGCAAAAAATATATATGTTTTTTGAAAATTTCGACCATATGTGTGGGAGGTACCAGAAGGAGTGGACCGATATTGTCCATCTTAACACCAGAACTTGGGTTAATATAAATATTGGGATGAGGGATTATAATTTGAAGGCAATCGGACTCTTACATTACATTTTATGAAAGTTGTAATTGTTCAAAATATTGACCCTTTGTGGGGGAGGCACTTGATGGAGTGGACCGATATTGTCCAGTTTCACACCTGACCTAGCATGGATGCAAATATTAGGATGTGCAAAGTTGGAGCAAAATCGGATTATCCTTTTTCTCTCTGTGCAAAAATATATTTTTTTGAAAATTTCGACTTTTTGTGGGGGAGGTACCAGAAGGAGTGGACCGATACTGCCCATTCTCCGAACTCGATCTAAGTTTGAAAAAAATATTACGATGTACCTAGTTTGGATCAAATCGGATACTCCCTTCAAGAGTTATCGTGCGCACCAGCCAGCCAAAAAGACAGACGGACGGAAATCGCTATATCGACTCCAAATGTTCTGCAACGGATTTGGTCCAAAGAGACCTAGGGTCTAAAACCGTTATTTCGTCTAGGCACGTTTTGACCTATCAAATCTGTAGCCATTTGGCTGAGGGTATTAAAAGCTGTAAGTTCGGCCGAGCCGAACTTTGAATACCCTCCACCAATTGGGACGAATTTGGCAATTCTCAAAAAACAATAAAATCCGTTAAAAATGCTGTATTAGGGTCAATACGACGACATGGACATCAATAGGTAATTTTTGTCATAAGCCATTACAATTTTCAAATGCGAAACTTAAAAAAATCGAATATCTGGAGGTATATAAGAAGACGTGGGGCTATAAGAAGACGTGGGCGTGCACAGACAATTTTCTGTCTCACACTGAGTAGCCATTACGAACTTCAAGTACAAAATTTTTGAATAATGTCGTTAAAATTATCAAAATACCGAATATCGGGAGGTACCGTTACATAACGGACCTGCACAGACAATTTTCTGTCTTAGGCTGTAGTATCCAGTACGAACTTCAAATACCAAATTTGGAACACTTCTGGTGAATAGTCTCGCTAAAATCATTAAACTACCAAATATCGGGAGGTACCGTTATATGGGGGCTATACCAAAACGTGTACCTACATTCTCCGTTTTCAATACCAAAATTCCTGCAGATATAATATACATTTGAGTAAAATTTGATCAATCTATTTCAATTCGTTTAGAAGCTAGAGTGATTTCCACAGACGGATAAACGGACAGACATCGCTAAATCGACATAGAATTTTATGCTGATTAAGAATATATATAATTTGTGGGGTCTAAAATGTGTATTTCGAGGTGTTACAAACGGAATGACAAAACATAATATACTCTCCATACTCTGGTGGGGGTATAAAGACAAAGAAAGTCAAAAATAGCGGATTTCAGTGTTTTCCATTTTTCTGGCTGATTGGTGCCATAAGATAACTCTCGAAGGGAGTATCTGATTTAGTCCAAAATTAGTACATCGTAATATTATTATCAAACTTACATCGAGTTCGGAGAAGGGCAATATCGGTCCACTTCTTCTGGTACATACCGCACAAAAGGTCAACATTTTCAAAAAAATATTTTGCAGCACAAAAGGAGAACGAGCACTCCGATTTTACTCCATCTTTGCAAATTCTAATATTTTCATCGGTGCTAGGTCATTTGCGAAAATAAACAATACCGGGTTAGTCCATCAAGTACCCTCACCCACTAAGGGTCAAAATGTTGAGTATCCATGAAACTCATACAACGCGAAATTAACATACGATTACATTCAGACTTGGTACATATTAAAATTTCCCATCTACACTTCTTCTCGATCTGTTATAAAAATGATAGAGATCGAACCATTTCTTCTGGTACCTCCCCCACATAGGGTTGAAGATTTTGAAAAACAAAACACTCAAAGAAACACTAAAAAGCATCCAACCCTCTTCAAACTTCAAACATACAAACATTTTCGCTAACACAAAATCTGTTGTGTATATGATATATATCTGCGAAGCCCTTCTGGTACCTCCCCCACAAAGAGTCACAATTTTTCCATTTTTTCCTTCGGTAGCTTCTTTACTTTGTATAAAGTTAAATAATCTACTGAGAAAATATAGGTAATTGTAATTGAAATACCGGATATCAAGATATACCCATAAATGGGAAAACGTGAACCGACCCTAGGCATAAAATCAATGACTATGCACATTTTCAAAGCTCAATCTCTGTATCACTCTATCGGACCGAACTGTTTATACTCACCACAATTTGGAGAGTAACTCATATATAAAATGTCTGTAAATGCCAAAAACTCCTATATTCGAGAGGTATGTATACCTTCTGTTATTAGGAATATTCAATCCAAAAATTCAAATAATTCTGTAAAAAAAATTGGTTTCGGTTATTTAAATATTGAATACGGAACCCCTAAACTGAATTTCAAGTAATTCCGCTGGAAAATGCGGCTTAAATCGCCAAAATACCGAATATCGGAAAGTAGCTTTATATGGGGGCTATAGGAAAAAGTGGACCTATACCTACAATGTTCTGCTACAGAAACCAATACCGAATTTAAAGCTATACCGCTAGAAACTGAGCCTAATTTCATAAAAATACGCAATATGGTAAGATACATTAATAAGGGCGCTATAGGAAAACGTGGACCTCTATATAGGCAATGTTCTGCCGCAGAAGATAGTCTATAATATGAATTCTAAATACCAAATTTTATACACTTCCGTTAGAAAATTTGGCTAAAAACGTCAACATATTGGATATCGAGAGATACCTTAATATGGGAGGCTATAGAAAAATGTTGAACTATACAGGGTGAGATAAACAAAAACTACAACAAAGTGAATGAAGGAAAAAAATTCGGAAATAGAATCAAATTTTAGAATAAATTTAGATTTGTTCGAATTGGTCACCTTTGGCTCGAATTATGGCCTTCAAACGGCCAATGACACCGTCACACGCAAATTCGGCAGTTCACCACTTTCGGCCAAGCGAAGCAACTCTTTAGCTCTTTTGAGTCTATTTTCTTTCTGTTGCGGTGTAAGTTATTGCAATTTTCGGAATTTCAATGGATTTACCCCGAGCTTATTTTTTAATATTTGCCGAATGGAATATTGTCATATGTTCAGCTCACGAGCCATTTTTCGGTCACTGCGACGCAGGTTTCGATCAAGTCGCTTCTTTACTTTTCGAACCATTTCTGCTAATGTTGCTGTTTTCTTCCGTCCACTTCCTTGACGTCGGGCTACGCTACCAGTATCACGGTAACAAGCGTGATGATAGGAGACACAAAAGATTTATTCACATTTAAATGCTGCAGGGCTCTTACGATAGCCACTTTTGGTTTTCCAGGAATAAATTTTTTTCTGGAAAGTTCTCACCAAAATGCTTTTGTACGCTTGTAAACAACATAATAAGCTGTCACTGGAATAGTTTTAACAGCTGTCGCACGAGTGGCTTAGAAATGACTGAAGTTGGTTGCAGTTTTTTTATCTCATCCTGTATGGACAATATTATGCCACAGAAGGTAAATCCCAATACAAACTCTTAAAACCTAATTTGAAACTTTTCCGTGGCTAAAATCGTCAAAATATCGAAGATCGGATGGTACAATTAAAGGTAAAAAGTTAAGATATGGGGACTATATAAGAAAGTGGTCTTATATGCTAAATTTCGGCTTCCTATCATACTTAATATACCCTTCATACTATGCATCTGGGGCGTATAAAAAAATGTTTATAGTCCAGCTGGATCGACCATGTGATACTCTTTGATCGCATTTACAAAACAAAAGAAAATAAAACACTCACATGACCAAAGACATCCACTCTAATACACCAAAATTACCATAAACACACCCACACTGACACACATACATATACCCTCACATGTGCATAGTTCCTGCTGTAATATTGTTAACATATTCTCTCCCTAAGCTACTTAAAATTAAATTGAATAGAAATTGAATTATTTCTGGCCAAATAACAAATCGCAAAAAAAAATAGTAGGATAACAGTGGAGATTTGGCCTAGG